CCCGCCACAACGCCCGGCTATTTTTTGGTTGCAGCCGTCATTGTTGTTTGGCGGGTCCGGGCTGGGGATTCGAACCCGCCACCTTGGGTGTACGTGGCTGGCGCCTTAGCCGGTTGAGCTATAGGCGCCGAGCCTAAATATCAAAAATTTAAAAAGCTATTCATTTATAGAAAGACTACTTTGAGGATACATAACAGATTATGTATCTGTGAAGTGGAAGATTAGGAAGATAGAGTAATTTTAAAATTTAGTTTTTCAAATAAATTTGTGATTTAAAGTTTTTATTTTTAAAATTTTTACAGTGAGTTCTATGAGTATCATGCACTAATGATGGAAGAAGAAGGAGCAGTAATTGTTGGGCTCCTGGTCGGCCTGAATGTGATAGATGCCAATCTGTGTGTGAAGGGAGAAGATTTAGACTCACAAGTAAGTAGAAGTGATCAGTACCAAAGCAGAGTATTTTCAGTTTGCACATTTTGCCCTTGGTTGGTCCAGGTATCACTTTAACTTGTAAACAGTGCTGTTAAATACTGAAGAACAATTAAGAATGAAATTTATTAAAGGTACTTCTGATACAGTATTATCTCTCTCCTTTAAATAAAGATAACTTTATTTACTTCAGGTTGGAGTGATTGACTTTTCTATGTATTTGAAGAATGAAGAAGATATTGGAAATAAAGAAAGGTATGATTTCCATAAGTTATTTCATATGTTGTATTTTTTTTTTTTTAAGATAGATCTTTACAAAGCAGTATGGGATTCATCTGTGTATTTACAGTGTGCTTTTCTGTCTTCCCCATCCCACTTCTACTTTGTCTCATTTTCACTTCTATCATAACTTTACGAAGCAAATAAGGGAAAAACCACTTAGCAGAAAGAGGCTTCAGTATAAAGTAGGACCTGCAGCGACACAATGATTGAGACCCATTTTAATAAATGTGTTTTGAGATAAAAGAGATGAAAGCTTATTATTCACATGCTTACAAGTGGTGGTTTTTTTTCAAGATATAATTGAACTTAAATTTAAAATACACTAATGGCATTGCTAAGTCTATTATTAGCAAGTAATTTATCCAACAAAGGTTATAGTTAGTAGAGTGCTTACCTGCATTTTTAAAGGAAGATAATGTTATTTTGCCATTATGGTTTTACAATAATTTTAGATGAGTTAAATATTTGTTTTGCATCTGGTAAGTACCTTTCAACTAGTACAAAGCTACTTTTTTCTTCCTTTCTAGGAATGTTCAAATTGCTGCCATATTAGACCAAAAGAATTATGTTGAAGAATTAAATAGACAACTGAAGTAAGTATTTTAGATATTTAGCACGTTTTGCCTTAGGTTTTTGTTTTTCTTCCCTTCTTTTCAGCTTAATCCCATTCCTTTCTTCTGAGTACCTTTGAGGGATGGAGGGGATAGACAGAACATAGAAATTAAGAATACTGAGAATTGGGTGGCGCCTGTGGCTCAAGGAGTCGGGCACTCATATACCGGAGGTGGTGGGTTCAAACCCAACCTCAGCCAAAAACCAAAAAAAAAAAAAAAAAATACTGAGAATTATTGGGAATAAATTTTCAGCAGAAAATGAGAGTCAGATTTTTTAAATAGAATCTTCATTGAATTTAATTAAAAGGTTAAAATTACCACCGTTCTTTTGAGGAAGAAAAGCTAGATAAGGTATAAGTTTATGTTATTTTGATGTTTCAAAAATCCATTTCTCCTACTTTAAAGGGCTTCATGTGTAAATGTGGCTGTCATCTTCTATGGTGGAAGTTTTCTCCTTACAAGGTCAACTGGTCATTGAAGCCATCAGTGAAAACTCTATCTGAGAAGAGTTTCTGAGATCTGTATGTAAAATAGTATAGTGCAGTCATTATAGAAGTATGATGTAGCTGGGACTACAGGCGCCTGCCACAACGCTCGGCTATTTTTTTGTTGCAGTTTGGCTGGGGCTAGGTTTACGTCCGCCACCCTCGGTATATGGGGCTGGTGCCCTACTCAGTGAGCCAGAGGTGCCGCCCTTAAAAGTTATTATTAATAAGATATTTTTAGTACCCTCCTCAAAATCCAGTGTGTATTTTAGCCTTATATCACATTTGAATTTGGATTAGGTACATTTTGAGTGCTTCATAACCACATGTGGCTCATGGCTACCGTACTGGACGGCACAGGTATATTGAATAATATTTGCTACATAATTAGAAATGAATGGACTGTTCTTACTAATTAAATTTAATAAGGCTGGGTATAATGGCTCATGCCTGTAGTCTTAGCACTGTGGGAGGCTGAGGTGGAGGATTGCTTGAGCTCAGGAGTTCGAGATCAGCCTAAGGAAGAGTGAGACCCCATCTCTACTAAAAACCGAAAAAATTAGCCAGGCATCATGGCATGTGCTTGTAGTTCCAGCTATTCAGGAGGTCGAGGCAGGAGAATTGCTTGAGCTCAGGAGTTTGAGGTTGCTGTGAGCAAGGCTGACACTCAGGCACTATAACTTGGGCAACAGAGTCAGACTGTCTCAAAAAAAAATAATAATAATTAATGATTAGTAAAAATGGCTATCTCTGGGTAATAGGATTATGGATATTTTTTTGGGGGGGGGGACAGAGTCTCACGCTGTCACCCTGGTTAGAGTGCTGTGGTATCATAGCTCACAGCAAAAATAATAATAATAATAAAGGGTAATGCCTGTAGCTCAGTCGACAGGGTGTTAGCCAAATACACTGAGGCTAGTGAGTTCGAACCCAGCCTGGGCCAGCTAAAATAACGGTGACAACTGCAATCCAAAAATAGCTGGGCGCTGTGGTGGGCACCTGTATCTTGCTACTTGGGATGCTGAGGTAAGAGAATCACTTAAGCCAGCAATTCTCAATCTGTGGGTTACAATCCATAGGAACTGTATTCAAGGGCCACAGCATTAGGAAGGTTGAAAACCACTGGCTTAAGCCCAAGAGTTCGAGGTTGCTGTGAGCTGTGACACCATGGCACTCTCACTCTACCCAGGGCAACAGCTTGAGACTCTGTCTCAAAAAATATATATATATTTTAAAATATAATTTAAATAATATTTAGTAATCTTCATGTGGAATTTCAATTCTATTTAATTATCAGTTAAATGTAAGAAAGACCCTAAGAAGACAATATAAAATGAGTAGCAACAAGTGGAATTCCAAAAGAAATATTGATTCTTTCACTGGACTTTTTATTGTACTCCCAGACAAATTATTTATCTAAGTTAATGACATTTTCCACACTCAGAAATTTGGACTGGACAATTGGTACATATCAGTCAATATAATGAGTTTAGGTTAATGTATCTTTTCTTGCCTTTGCTAGTTTGCGTGATTTTGAACAAGTTTTTTCTTTATTAATTTCAGCAGCACAGTCAGCAGCCTCCATTCAAGAGTCGATTCATTAGAAAAGTCAAATACTAAGCTGATTGAAGAGGTACTGTCACCCAGTAATGGACATTTTATGGACCTAGTGTTTGTGATCCTTTTCCATTTTAAGTATGAATAAAACAAGTACCTACATACACATACATACATACTTTCCTCATTAAATAGAATACTTGTAATATAGTTGTAATTGATTATGTAAGTTCTAGAGAAAGCACTTTACATATTCTTAGACAAATTTTCCGTTGTGTGAATCTATATCTGAGATACTCAAGTTCTAAAAAAGAGCCCCAGCAATGAAACTCAAACTCTTTTGTGGATAAGCTGTAATTCTCATTTTAAAATCTGGGTATATTTACCTTGTGGAATCACCTATCATCAGAAATTCTTGGGCTAAGTGTGGTGGCTCACACCTATAATCTCAGCACTCTGGGAGGCTGAGGTGGGTGGATTGCTTGAGCTTAGGAGTTCAAGACCAGCCTGAGTAACAGCAAGAGCCCGTCTTTAAAAATAGCTGGGCGTTGTGGCAGGCAGCTGTAGTCCCAGCTACTCGGGGGGTTGGGGGCAGTGAGGCACAAGGATCACTTGAGCTCAAGAGTTTGAGGTTACTGTGAGCTGTGACACCACAGTACTTTACCCAGGGTGACAAAGTGAGATTCTGTACCCCCCCCAAAAAAAATTCTTATTAAAATAATACTGTTGGGGCTCGGCGCCTATAGCTCAACCGGCTAAGGC